TCCTCTTCCTCTTCCTCTTCCTCTTCCTCTTCCTCTTCCTCTTCCTCTTCCTCTTCCTCTTCCTCTTCCTCTTCCTCTTCCTCTTCCTCTTCCTCCTCCTCCTCCTCTTCCTCCTCCTCGTATTCTTCCTCTTCCTCGTATTCTTCCTCTTCCTCGTATTCTTCCTCGTATTCTTCCTCTTCCTCTTCCTCTTCCTCTTCCTCTTCCTCTTCCTCTTCCTCTTCCTCTTCCTCTTCCTCTTCCTCTTCCTCTTCCTCTTCCTCCTCAGACAGGACAGGGCCGCTGGTGATGTCAATGAGGCCCCTCATGTGTGCACCATTCTGCAGAAATAAAGGAGAAAGTTCCATGTCTGACCAAAACCCACGGCATGAGCTCTGTGTTTGGTGTCTCTGTGCTCTCAGCGAGATGAAATCTCTCCGAAATGTCTTTCATGTGAGCAGCAGGCTGGGGAAAGCTGTTTTCCCCGGCTCTTAGAATAATTTTTTTTTTCCCCCCCTAAAGCTCTTTCACTACTTTAGGGGTTATTTAGGGTCAGAGGGAATTCCCATATCCTTGAGGACCCAAAGCTGATGGGTTCACTCCCAGTACAKCACCCTGGAATCACCCATGGGTCAGGTCCCAAGCACTGGGACCACAAAACCCCTTCCTTTTGAGGGCATTTCTGGAAAAAAACCCCTCAGCCTGTGCCAGAGTTCACCTCACCAGTGCCCACTGAGGCAAAAGTGTGTTCATGAATTCACTGGCCAAAATGAGATTATTCWGCCCCAGCCTGGATGTGAATCTCACCATTGGGTTCCTCCACCTGCCTGAGCCCTTCTGGGGACCTCAGCTCAGATGTCCCGTGTCCATCACAGCTTCTCCTTCCTCTGAGGGAGAGTTATCACCCCTGAGGGWGATAAAAAACCCCTGAGGGAGAGAAAAAACCCCTGAGGGAAAGATAAACCCCCTGAGGGGTGCTAAAGGTGCAGATTCAAASCCAAAACCCAGCAGATGTAACACCGACAGCTCCTTCAAAGAGCGATTGCACATCAGGCTCTGTGGCCAAGGGTTATTCCCASCCCCAGCTGGAATAAAGCAGGAAGATTCCAGAGGATGCCTGGCAAATTTCTGCTCCCAGGCACGAAATGCCTGCTCTCTTTTCCCAGACATCACACCAGCTCTCATCCTGAAGAGCCAGGATCCCCCAACGCACTCGAGAAGCCGGTAAATCCTCCTTGTTTACCCCACAAGGGAGTTGGCAGAGGAGAGAGCTCGGCTCTTTCCCATCAATTCCACTCATTGCCTCCATTACTGTTATTACTGTGATTAAAAAGCAATCAAAGAGAAATCTCCTTCCTGTCCTGGAACTGCTGCAGAAATGCTCAGTTCCACYGCTGGAGCAGGAGAAGGGAGAGTTACGAGCACGCCCTGCTCTCCTGGGTGCTGTGACACCCAGAATTGGTGATGGAGCTCCTGGCCTGGGCACTCAGGGGCWGCCAGAAGGGCTGGGATGGAGCAGTGAATCTTTTTGTGGATGAGGGGTGGGTTAAATGGGATTTTTTTGGGTCCCTTCCCAACCTGATGGGTGATGGGTGTCCCTGGTCCCCCCAGCTGTGGGGTGCAGGGGACACTCATCACCCAAAAATGGGCTGGGTGACACTCATGGGGTGACTCGGGGTGAAACCAGCCCTGGGGTGAGTCTGGTCAYGGAATTTGGGTTGGAATGGACCTTAAAGGCCACCCCATTGTAAACCCTGCTCTGGACGGGGATGGCACCTGCTGGCCCAGGCTCCTCTGTCCCCAAGGGCTTGGGGAGGGAGGTGGCTCTGGGGACTCGGTGGATCTCAGGGACAGAAGGTGGCTCCATGGGCCGGTCCAGGGGTCAATCCTGGGGACAGGAGATGGCTTGGGACTGGTCCGGGGATCAGTCCAAGGAGCAGGAGGGTCACGGGGCTGATCCCAATGTGGATCCCGGTGCAGGAGATGGCTCAGGACCAATCCCAGGACAATCCTGGTGGGGGGGAGGGGGGAAGGTGGTGACTCCCTGGACAATTCCCGGACAATCCCRGGACAATCCCAGGACAATYCCMGGACAATCCCAGGACAATCCCAGGACAATCCCGGGACAATCCCAGGACAATCCCGGGGCAGGTGACGGCTCCCTGGACAATTCCTGGACAATCCCAGGACAATTCCCGGACAATCCCGGGACAATCCCAGGACAATCCCGGGGCAGGTGACGGCTCCCTGGACAATTCCTGGACAATCCCAGGACAATTCCCGGACAATCCCGGGACAATCCCGGGACAATCCCTGTACAATCCCAGGAGAATCCCAGGACCATTCCGGGACAATCCCCTGTACAATCCCAGGACAATCCCGGGGCAGGTGACGGCTCCCTGGACAATGTCGGGACAATTCCCGGACAATCCCAGGACAATC